AGCATAGGCAGTATCTTGGACTGGGAAAAGTTGAGATATAGACATTCTTTTGAAAAGGAATCTTGCTAGAGATGATTCTGTTATAAAATTGTCACTGAAAGCTTTAATCTCTTTTAGGATACAATTTAAACATTTATCTGGGATATTGAAGATACTGTCCCAATTCTGTATATATGCAAAACATCCATTGCTTAAATTGTTTATCTTGAGCTGAAATTCTATATGCACTTACTTGGCATATAGCACCATTGAACTTGTAGAACTGTACCAGTTGGTGAACTTATTTCATGGACATTCTGAGTCTCATTGTCTTACCTACTTCAGTATGCTCTTTCATTGAATATGGTAACATTTCTGTCCCGAATATCTCCATTTCAAGACTTTATCTCTTGCAGTGGATTAGTGGAGCACCAGAGTTTTAGAAACGGATTTGTAATCATTTCCAAACTGATATGCATCAGTGACTTTTTAATGGAGGTCTTTTGAGCAGAGCATGACATGCCTCTGCAGTCTGTGCGGTAAGAATTTCACTGTGATAAAGGGCATCAAGTTTCTGAGATTTATATGGAAGAGGGCTGGCCAAATTAGCCCTGATTGTTTAATAAAATACTCATGCAATTGGCCCTATTATCTCTTTAATTGAATTGATTGAACTAGTTTGATTACTTTTTCACACAGGGATATTGCTTGTTGGATACATTTGTTTATCAAATAAATGAAACAAGTACCACACTTTACAGTTATTTGTTCACTCAGACTTCTTTTATGTATCAGGGCCTATGTGAATCTATGATAACACTCCATTGCAAAGGTATGCAAAAACTCAGACATTCCAACAGAGGGAAGAGGGTTTTTTTCCACAGAACTGTTTTATCTAAATAACTAATAAAAAGTTATTCTGGTTATGATTTACCTAGTTAAAAGGCTTTGAATCAGAGCAGTGATGCAGTAAATGAACTGTGGGATTCTTAGAACTAGTGATAATCACAGTATTAAAATGTGTGAATAATACACCAACTACTAACAATGTTCTAGTGTTTTCCACTGTGATAGATCTTTACAGAAACTCTGCTGTTTTTAAAATTGGGGTTTCCTATCATCTGTAGAGGGCATACACATCGTACAGATTTTTGCTTATTAACTTGAATGTTCATAGATGTATTTATTTTGCTTTTTTAGGTGTCCGCAAATATGGTAAAGATTTTCAAGCTATTGCTGATGTAATTGGCAATAAGACTGTTGGTCAAGTGAAGAACTTCTTTGTAAACTACAGGCGTCGGTTTAACTTAGAGGAGGTATTGCAGGAGTGGGAAGCAGAACAAGGAACCCTGGCTTCTAATGGTGATGCTTCTGCTTTAGGGGAGGACACAAAAAATGCTAATGTGTCATCAGGAAAAAGTACAGATGAAGAAGATGAGGTGTGTTTCTGTGTAACAAATCTTAAATGAGTTCAGAAATGGCATTAAATTTCCTATCATAAAATGTAATATTTAACTTGAAGTGGAATGCTGAATCACCAGTGGTGGAAACTTATTGCCTCCTGATTTGTAGAACTCTCTCCTCAGTGGGATTGTGTTAGCCAAACGCTTTCAATCTAGGCTGCCTCTGGTTCTTCCCAGACTTCATTGTGACGGTACTAATATAGAAAACATAGCTGAATAATCCTGAATATTAGACGTTTTCCCCCTTTTTATGCTGAATATTTGTTCTTATACTGCTAAATAGTTTAGAAATGGTTGCTTTCAAAGAAGGGTTTCTTAGCTACAAATATGGCTATACTAACAATGCTTTCTTGTCTCTGGAGGTAGTGGCAACCCAAACTGCATGATGATGACAGGATGGCTGCTTTTATGTATCTGTATCACTTTATTTATAGGCCCAGATCCCACAGACCCCTCAGTGTGTAGGGTCTTCTCCACCAGCCCAGGCATCTACTCCAACACCAGCAACCCCTGTAACAACTCTGAACCAGCCTCCTCCATTACTTCGTCCAACCCTTCCGGCTGCTCCAGCTCTTCATCGTCAGCCTCCACCACTACAGCAACAAGCTCGATTTATTCAGCCAAGGCCAACCCTAAACCAGCCCCCTCCACCACTTATCCGCCCAGCTAATTCCATGCCTCCTCGCCTAAACCCAAGACCAGCACTATCCTCCACTGGCGGTCCACAGCCACCTTCGCTTATTGGAATCCAGACAGAATCACAGTCCCCTCTGCACTAAAGAAGTAGGGCAGAACTATGGTAAATAAAATAGTATCAGTGTCTATTTTTCCTCAGCTAATGAAGAGGTGAAGGGAGGGAAAGCAAGCTTTCCACAGTATTGAAACTGTCACAAAGAGGAAGGTGGAAGCAGATATATAATATGTGAATGACCTTCTGTGTGAGAGAAACTTCAGTGCAGTAGATTATTGCAGAGGAAACCATGTCTACAAAGTCAGCCTTTTTTACAAAGCTAACTTCTTTTAAAAAAGGAAAAGAAAGAAAGAAAGAAAAAGAAAGAAAGAAAGAAAGAAAGAAAGAAAGAAAGAAAGAAAGAAAGAGAAAAAAAGAAAGAAAGAAAAAGAAATTTACTGCACTATGACTTCAACTGGTTTTTACTCTATTTATTTTATAAAATCCTTTGTATTCAACTACATGGAAATAAACCATCTGGATAGTGTAAGAGTTTCCATTTAAGATTCAAAGTGGGCTATAAATGTGATAAACTGGGGAAATTATTTTTACATTTTCCTATGTTAGGAGCACAAGTATTACTAACAAGCCTGCCATTCAGATTTTGACAGATACCACCACTTCATACATTTTTCTAGGCTTGTATTTTCTATATTTCTTTATAAAGTACTTTTCTTCAGTCTACTTATTGGAAAAGTCTTGAAGAGTTGCAAAGCTAAGGTACTAAAGAGGTTCAACTATATATGTGGTCTTCTGATACTGGAAGCATGACTTGCTAGTACAAAATCTGCGATAGGCAGCAGATGAGCCACCATTTGCATCTAACACCAATAGCCATGCAGCTAGTAAAGTCACAATTACCTTCTTTTTAATAAACTTTGTAGTACTGCTTACCTGAAATTTTATTCTATTATTTAAGTTCTGGCAATAATTTAGCAAGGAATACCTTGCTGAATTCCATACATATAGGGGCATGGTGAAACAGTCAAATATTAAGGATGTTTACTGCTTCATTTCTTGAGATATCTCAGTCTCCTTTTGCTGTTCCTTGCTAGTGCATATCCCTCCATTTTTTTTTCTTGGTATCAAAAAAGATGCCAAATCATGCTTTACTTAATTAGTTGGGATTCATCTTTTTATTATTGAAGTGACATGCTTCTCTTAATTTTAGACAAGAAACACTGACCAATGAAAATCTTATATTTTCATGAAAGACATGCATCTCTTTAATACAGTTGACTTCCCCACTCCTTATTAAAGCAACAGTGTTTTAACTTTCAAAGTTAAGATTCAGGATGATTTCATGTACAGCAAAGCTGTACTAGCCTCTTATGTACTGCATTTTACAGCTCAAATATCAAAACTTTTAGACTAACACCTTATCATGATTAAGGTGTTAGAGGGATTTGCCCATTAACTTTCATGTTCTCAATTTTTTAAGATTCTTATTTAAATCAAATTTAATTTGTAGTATATTAAATAGAAATTCCTTCAGTGGATGTCTCTGTATCCAACCACAGTGTTTGATTTTTAATACTGGCTTTTCAGTGGGGAAAAAAGCATCACTATCCCTTGCCAGAATTCTTGGTAGTTAGCTATATTTGACCTTTGGTTCTGAGGTCAATATTAACCCACTGAATTCTTCCAATCTGCCATATTCCTATTTGTGCATTTTGGCATAACTCTAAATACCAAACTACTAAAAATGCATTTTCAGTATTTAAGTATGTAGATCAGGTTTCCCAGTGACTGTATTGTCCTTTTTTTTTCTTTTGCTAACTTTTGTCTTGTCTCTTGTTGCTAGAACTTCAGTATGCAGCAGATTGGGTGCTGCCATTCAAATGGCAATTTTAGACTATCAAAACTATAACTGGGCACTTGTGTGTTTGGGTAAGATAGGTATGTAGTATAATACTGCTTTACATACGCTATGCCACACAGTGACAAAATGTTTAGCATTTGTAGTACTGAATATGTACATAGCAAAATGTTGTCCTTTTAAAAAATTGTGTGCTTTCCAGATTATGTGCATACAGCTTGCACGTCCTGTTTTGGGTAGGGGGTTGTGTTAAGCAGTGTTTTTGCCTGGAAGAGTGAAATGCTTGCTGCTTAATCAAAGAATTAAAGTTTCCAAGGAATCTGTGTCTATTTTTATGTACCTTGTAATGGTTTAAGATACTTAGGCCCTATACTGTGATTCTCTTCTAAATTCATTTATATTTTTTTAAAGATTAGAAATAAAACTATATGATTTTTTTTCATTTCAAATGAGTTTTCTTTTCTTTTGGGGCAATATTATTAAAATCTAGCTTGATTTTGTACCATTTCTAGCAAGCCACAATCTATTCATCTTGGTTTATTTTTGTCACTTTATGAAATGTAAAATGTTTGCACTCCCTTTTAAGTTGGGCAGAAATTTATTTCTTACAGTGGTTATGACAAATGTAACTTTGCATCTCCTTTTTATGTACAGTTTTTCAGTTACAATAAAGAAATATAAAAACTTTTAAATGAATGGCCATCTATAAGGCCTATGTGTATATTTGGAGAAAATATTTATAGGCTAAAGTATTAAGTGGTTGGAAAAGAGGTCTGTGACTAATACACCCAGATTGGATACTTGGTAGTATCCCTTTTTTTAAGTATAAACTAAAAATGATGGAATGCTAAATTCTTGATAGGCATTGCTGCTGTTTTATTATATTCTTTAAAAATGTAAGGCTTTTTATGTTATGCGGGACACATACTGTATAGCTTTTAGAATATAGGATTGCATAATTTTGAAATGGTTAGATTTATACTTAGATGCATTGATCTGCCACATTTGAATAACATATAATAACATAATAGAAGTAAAAATCAGGGACATGAGAAAAGAAGTATAAGCTATGTTGAGATTGTTAAGCTAATTGATGAAAGTTAAGGATATACTATAGTAATCTTGAATTCTTCCAAGAGATTTTCTGTGAGAACTGGAGCATAAGCATAGAAAAGGACTTCTGTCACATAGCTTTCTATCTAATCTTCATGAGTTTTACAGTCACTCATATCTAGGGATTTGCCATCTTTAATTCTGGCCACGGTGACCCTCCTCTAGTCAGAGCTGGTGTGCATTCTGGGGGTTACTGAAGAGCAGGTAGCAGTGTGGCCAGAAGAGCTTTTGCACAAATACATTTTTTGCAACATTTGCACCAATTCCTAGATGGGGGACACTGTTCATGGTCATTTGTGGGTTAGTCACTTCCCGGTTGGACTACCGTAATATGTTCTATGTGGGGCTGCTCTTGAAGAGCATTCAGAAGCTTCACCTGATCCATAATGCAGCAATAGAGGGTGCACCACAGTATGCCCATGAAACACCACTGCTGCATTAACTGCACTGGCTCCCAGTAGGATTCCAGGTGCAATTCAAGGCTCTGGTTGTCACCTCTAAAGCCTTACATGGCATGGGGCCAGGTTACTTTGGGACTGCCTATCCCCAATGATTTCTGCCCATCATAACTAGATCTGGCAGGGTGGGGGTGCTCCGGGTCCTCTCTGAAACAATGCCACCTGGTGGGGCCTTGGAAGCACACCTCCGCATGGCACCTGCTTTATGGAACACACTCCCCCCGCCACCAGAGAGATGGATGGGCCCCAATCTTGTTGGCCTTCAGAAAAATGGTAAAGACATGGCTTTTCCCCCAGGTGCTGGAAAATGTTGATGGAGCTGGTATGGGGTAGTTGGTGGATGAATTTAAGTTTTACTAGGGCCTCAATGTTGTCTGTTGTTTTAAATGGTCTTTTTAGCGTACTGTGTTTTTATTCTGTTCACCACCTAGAGTTCCTTCTGGTAGACGGGCAGCTATATCAGTTTAATGAATAAATAAAATGGAAGAACCTAGAATCACAGGAAGACATTTGTTAAGCAAATACAGGACATAGGTCAATAAAGTTTTGCAAAACTTGTGAGCACCTATAATATAAACAAACTTCATTACAGTCATAGACCAGAATTAAGACAAAACAAGAGTAAAATGATCACTCGCATTATACCATTAATCATAGCCAAGATCAGGAGTAGGCTCTGCTTCAAGCAGCATACACTGCATACTCTATAACTTGATATCACTGGATGGGCGATTGATTATGTACCATTGAGTCAGAGGATATCTTTTCTAAGGCCTTCATTGCTACTCTGTCAAGTGCTAGTCTGTGTCATACTTCTTGATTGCTGGTTCTTTTACTGTTGACAATCCTAAAAAGCAAATACTATCCACCACTTCAGTGTCTTCACTGACAAGTCTAAGGCTGGTTGCTGTATCTGTTATCATTGGTTTGGTCTTCTTTATATTTAATCATAGTCCCTTTGTTTTCACTGTGCTCCTTGGTTTTCATTACTAGAGCTTGCTGGTCATTTGCATTTTCAGCTGTCAGAACAGTGTCATTAGCATGGTGCATGTTTCTTATGTTTCTTCCTCCAATTTTAAGATCACACTCATTTTCTTCCAATCCAGTCTCCCTCAATATATATTCTCTAGATTTGCTGGCATACTTCGGTTACAACCTTTAATGATGTAATGATTCCTATTACTGTCTTCTTACTATTTTCAGTTATGACATTCCAGTCTTCAACTACAAGCAACACATCTTATGTGCATGTTCTGTTGATTTCAGAATAAACTTGACCATAAACCTCTTCAATCTCCACTGCTTCTGCATCAGTGGTCAGAGAATAAATTTGGAAAATATTAAAAAATTGTCCACAAAGTCTAATTGACATTATTTGATCATTAACCCAATACTGTGTTGTCTATATCCTTTCTGACTATGAAACCAACACCATTGTGAAAAGTGAAGCAGAAAATATTCACAAAATGTTAAAGATGGGGGGAAAAAACCCTGGCCATTTAGAATAAGTTATGATTGCAGAGGTAAAACTGAGGCTGAAAGTTTTAGGCATAAAAGGATGCATGACATCTGAACAAAGACTCAGCATCAGGTAAGAAAGGACAGAAATATGTCTGAATCATGAATGCCAACAAATAAAGGAAAACAAGTAAAAGAAAAATGACAGTTGCTTTTAAGAAGAATACAGAAATCACAGGTAAATTTGCAACTAAAGTAGGACCACTTAAGAGATCCTACAAGAAAGAGTTCTAATAGAGGCAAATGAAATACTATACTGAAACCTATGCATGGGACTGGAGAGCTGCAAAAACATTCGTAGAGATAATGCATTCAGGAATTGATTCCATTTAAAAGTGAGATATGAGAGGCAGTAGAACAGCTGAAAGGCCAGTCCAGCAGGCATCTTAGGCCCCAAGGCAGCTGGCTTCCC